ATAGCGATCTATAAGGTGGTTTTTTGAGTAACCGGCCCCACTAAATTGGCAAATAAACAGTTCAGCCTTAATGAGGCTGGCACCAAGAGGGCTTGCGCGCTCTAGAGGTCCACTACTTGCCGAGCACATTCATACCGAGTTTATCGGTTCAGATCATCCGGATTTCGGTATGTGAAGCACCTTGAACCATGGCTACATAACATGCGTAGATTGCTATCAACATCGAAGACCAGATTGACATCTTCCCGTCGCTGCGTCCTCGTCAACCTACGTAACCCGACCAACGTTTTCATTGTCCCAGTCGTTTTCTATGCAGCACATCAGTTGCTGATTTCCTTCACCTAATCATCCTCTGCCAAACTTCCACGTTGTGGCTGTAAAAGAGTTCCTTTCTTCCTCAAAGCAGTGTGGAGAAAAACAGGATCATGTCTGTTTTTAGCCATAAAGCCAATACCTATCGCTAGACAGGTAGGAAGGTACTTGATTGCGAGAAATAACTACAATAGTACGCACTCGACCGCTTCGATGCAGACCTCATGGTCCTGAACGGGAATGACTCTGAGGCTATCGTAGCTCGCTTACCCCCGTGGAAACGTAGGAAGACTGCGAAACTTGAAATGTACGGTTCAAATAGTCTACAACTGTGTTATGCTGAAGTATGGGTTAATGCGAGTTAGTCCATGCAAATGACGTCATCGGGATAGATAATGGCGATGCCAGTGAGGGAGCATCCCTCCCCCGAAGGGAAGGGGGTTTTGGTATGACCCCCTCTCACAACCTGCTTACAACTCATCAATTTTCCCTTGGGGGGGGGGGGGGGTAGGTGAAATCTTTAGCAACCGAATACAACTCCTTCATTTCGCACAACGACGACGCTGAGCTCGAAGTCCCATCGTTTTTCGGTCTAACGAGTGCAGTTTTTGGCGCTAGAGATGGGCGCTTGGACCTTGTAACTGGGGTTTCTTGTCATCTGTTGGAATGCAAAGGATCAGCAGGAATATGTATGCCTAAGAAAAACCAAGTCATCGTAAATGTCCTGCCCTTTTCTGATTTCTGCTCAGGGGATTTTGATCGAGTCCGTACGGCCTCCCTCCCAGATTTTTTCATCGTGCTGTCGAGCGGGAGAGGAAATACGACCCTCGCTCATCCTTAGATTTTCCCAACTCCAACGTCCTACTGTTTCTTCCGCATTTTCCGGGAATTTTCCTCGTTCTACCCAAAATTTTCCTGTCGATGCGAGGGAGGATATAGTTCACATTAAACAGGAAAAACCACAAATTCAAGACGACCCCCTTCTCCAAGCGACCAAATACGACTCCCCTATTGGGGGATCCCCGACAACGATGTGGCCCCTGTTTCTGCTACCTTAGCATCCTTCCACATCTAAGCCTGAAACCTCAAAAGTTTGATGAAAAATAATAAGTACGCGATGGTGTAAGGCACAAAAATTTTTTAAGAGTAAAAACTAAAAGATAGAGCGAATTTTTTGGAAGCAAAGGAAACTGACAAATAATCAAACAGAGTTGGTAAATAAACAAATAAATAAACAACCAAATGATATAAAAAATGCAATGTTTAATGCAGGGAAGGATATTGCCCTCAAAGCGAAACTATTTCTCTCAAATTCACTATCCCGACAATGGATATTTTTCTTAAACCCACCCATTACTACTTTTTGAGTTTCATTGCGAACACTGCTATTCTCGAACCGTATCTCTTACTACCATCTAGGCGTCTCCTTTCCAAGCGGCTAGTCATTGTTTATCGAAGGATTGAGACTTCTGGCAAGCTATTTAGGTCCGTATTTATGTTCGTTCATTTCGATTCAATTTGTGATTGTGGGTTGGGAAAGAAATGGCCCTGTGTAAATTTTGCAGTTTCAGCTCGTTCACTACGCTTACGACGTGACGCCTTGGTGTCGGCGTTTTCTTAACCCCTACGACTGCTTGGACGGTACCGTGGGAAGTGGAACCTTGTTTGTTCCTTTGGAGGGCATTTTCAGCGCGGAGCGAGTCTACTGTTACGATACTGAGTGAACGAGACGCGGCATCGTTCCATTTCACTTACCAGTGAGTTCCACATAGAGTTCTCACCAGCCCTGAAGTCCTGCTTTTCCGAAGTTCATGAAAGTGAGAAGAATTGTAAAACTTTTCCCTGAACGCCTATGACAGTTCAGCTTCTCAATAGTATCTGATGTAAACACAGGGCGTGATAAATGGCCCGTTTCCCAAGGTGGGGTCATTCTGGACCATCATTTCCCAATGCGAACAACCTTCTCATGTAATTAGCAACGAAACGGTGGTTTTCCCAGTGACCCATGTAGTCGCGATGTTCAATGGCGCCTGTGGTCATAGGTGGCAGGTGGGCGGCGTGAGGGAGAACGTCCCGGGGTGACGTATCCGTGGTCCAGAAGGCAGTCATTCCCAGACGCCCTCCACATGGGAGGTGCCTTGTTTCTCAAGACATCCGCCCCACTTGAATCCGTATAAAACACCAGCACCACGATCAGTTGTCCATTCCGAGAGGTTCGGGCTCCTGTTGTTCCTATCTTGTTCTTCTTATCATTGAACGACGCGTGCTGTCAGCTATCAGGTTTTGTTTGTTCATGGTGGTTTGATGACCCCAGCGGTGGCTTCTTAGGGGCCTTTATGGGGGTGAAGTTTATCTGATTTCACACTCATAGCATGTGGTTGACGTACGTGTTCACGATACACATCTATTTCTCGATTAGATCTCAGGTGGTAGTGGCATTAGCTCCTGCTCCGATTAAGACTGCTGATAACTGGGATCATCCCCGGATATGTCATGCCTGAGGAGTTTAACGGTTTAGCTTGATTGGGGCTATTATTGGCGTTTTCTCGGATTTCTTAGCTCTGCTAATGTTGTGCAAGCCACGGAACTCCTCAAGTCAGCTACTCGGTCCAAATTTTGAATTTGAACCTAATTCTTTGATCAAATAAATGACTCGTTCACTGTAAACTCACTGATTCTTATCAGAAGTCACCAAGTTTACTGGAACTGCTTCCTGGGCTCTCTAGAAACTTACCTGTGCCTACTATTTTGCTCAATAAGCCACAACCAGATACATTCCCTAGCTACCTGCTGACTACGAGAAGGGCTGCTTTGTTCCCCTTTTAAATTGACTTTTCATTTTCGTCTCCTGCTGGAATTCAGAAAGCTCCCAAATCTAAGCAAATTCTTCTAATAGGTGAGGCCATTCCATGCTCTATTTAACCCTCATGGGCAGAACATTTCTAAGAGTTTCCAGTCCTTTTTTCTTTTCTATTTGTATCCAATGGAGACCTCCTTTTTTGCTATCTATCTGTATGCCCTAACGCTTCGTTGCACTAACTGGTCCGATCCTCCTGATTTCTTGATTTCCTTCGTTCTCCTGTA